ATTGCTCAAAAAAAGCAATAGAAGTAATAAATACCTAATATTCGAAACGCAAGAAATTAATGACAAATAATACTCTAAACTCGAAATACAATAAGCCGGGTGAATAAAAAGACATTTGCTTTCACTTAGTAATTGGTCAGTTTTACGTGAATAAAAATTTGTTTAATATGGTTAAATTTTCATTCACGTAAGGTTGAGCAATTACTGAGTAAATTGCTTAACTTAACATGAATAAATATTTGTGCAAAACTCCTAAATATTACCCAGTAAGCACAGGACGTTTTCAAAACGTTTTAATTCCGTTCAATTTACGGTCAGACGTTAAAAGAACCAATACAATCGTTTTTAAAACGCTTTTTTGTAAAAGTTTTTTTTAATGTTAATTTAAAGTTTTTTTAGCGTTTTTTAGGCGTTTTTTTTTTTTAACAACTTACGAAATTTCTCAGTTAGCTTATGAACGTTTTTAAAAACATTTTTTAACATAATAAATAAACGTTTTTTTAATGTACCCCAGTAAGCACAGATTGTTTTTAAAAGGTTTAAAAAACGTTAAAAACCGTTTTAATAACGTTCTGTGCTTACTGCGACACGCCAATATTTAAAAGAGTATGCTTACGCAAATAATAGCGCAACCTTCGAATTATTCAAGTAAAAACTATATAAATTAACATATCTTTAAATCAACCAAGTGTTTGTATTGTTTTCTTAGAGAATAAATTTTAAAAATATATTGGAGTATTTTTAGTTTGTCTTCGTTGAAACTAGGTTGAGTTTGTATTTCTACTTGAGTCAAGTAGATATGATTAAAATGATAAAGTTTTTATGGTGTGGTTATTTAGATTAAATAGCTTAATTGTTGAGTAAACTTAATTGCTAAAGAAACTAGATTAAGTTTTTAATTCTACTTGATTATCAACTGCTTTTAATGCAAAAAAATTCATTTGGATTTGAGAAAAGGAAACAACATTTTCAGAATTTTTCTTCTTTAACTCTAAAGAAGAAAAAATAAAATATGATAATATCAGTGGTTTTTATTAAGGAATTACTAAAGTTAAAAAGGCTGAAAGACAAAAAATATGATGATTTGTTTCAAGAAAGTAAGTGATTTAGTACAAAAGTTCATTTTAAGATTTTAAATCTTTAATAATATTCTGGTGTAATTACCAAATATTTGGCAGTATGAAACCTATAATATTATATACAATATTATATATCCTATTTTACTTATAAAATTAATAATCTGTAAAAGAATTCGAATTGTAAAATTTCTTCATGCGAAACCAAATTTTTAGATGAAATTCATATTTGAATCTCTTTGCTTGAGTTCTGTAGGTCAAAAAAATAATAAATAAAGATGATATTGATTGTGATGACCAAGAGGTTCATTTTAAGTTACATCAATTTTTATCATATTAAAATAAAAGGGATAAATATGATAGATTTCCATTATCTCAAGCAAGTAATTTTTTAGTTAAGAATAATAACGTAATGTTCGTAGTAAAATGCTAACACGACTGTCAATATAAAAAGATTTCATTGAAACAATGAGGTTTCAATTTTACCTTTAAATAATTACCTGCCCCAGTAAGCACATGAACGTTTTTTAAAACGTTTTTTTAACTATGAAAAAAAACGTTTTTTAAACGTTCTGAATGGCAATACCTAAAAGACGTTTTTAAAAAAGCGTTTAAAAAACGTTCTAAAAAAGTCGTTTAAAAAACGTTCTAAAAAAAACGTTTAAAAAACGTTCTCAAATACGTAAATTAAACCATAAAAAAACGTCTTTTAAACTTTTAAAAGACGTTTTTTTTTAGAAAATATTCCTAAGTCCATAGGTACTATTATTAAATTGTTTTTAAAAGAACCTGTTGGTTTAAAAAACAAAAAAAATAATAAACTTATTTAAAAGTTATTTTTAAATTTATTTTTTAAAACAATTTACAAACAAAGTAATATTATAACAATGATATCTGTTGGATTTAAGGCACTTTGAGACAAGCAAAAGTTGCCCGCTTTCACGAATCAGCAATTATTGCATCTACAATCGACTCTGTGTATAATTCGTGAGAAGTCGATGCACAAACTAAAAGAAAAAACTATATATTTAAAACAGACAATCTGAACAGCAATAATAGTATTATAGTATAATAATAATATATAGTATAATAATAATAGTAATAAGTTTTTAAATTACAAATATATGTTTTAAAAAAAATATATATAACTTCACATTGCATATATATATATATATATATATATATATATATATATATATATATATATATATATATATATATATATATATATATATATATATATATATATATATATTTATATATGTATATATATATATATATATATATGTATATATATATATATATATATATGTATATATATATATATGTATATATATATATATATATATTTATATATATATATATATATATATATATATATATATATATATATATGTATATATATATATATATATATATATATATATATATATATATATATATATATATATATATATATATATATATATATATATATATATACATGTATACACATTTTTGGCACAATATAAATAAAACAGCATCAAATTGAAATAAAAATGACTCTGCATTGTCAGTAATAAGCGCCACTAATAAAACATAAGAAATTCTGACTAAAAGACTAGTATTTTGTATGCCCTCCATGCGCATCAAGCACGGCCTGTACAAGTCTTGGCATAGATTGTACCAGCTTTTGGATGGTGTCAACAGGGATTGCTAGCCATGCAGCTTGCAAATGTTGCCACAAATCATCCAGATTGCTGGGTTTGTACTTTCTGTACTTTTCTGAAGAGCTCCTTCTACAAATTTTCAATGGGGTTCAGGTCAGGATTTTGTGGAGGCCGTTCAATAGCATTGGTACGAGCATGTTTGAGATATTTTATTACTTTCTAAGCTTTGTGGCAAGGAGCATTGTCTTGTTGAAAGAAAAATGGTTTGTTTTTACCAAACAGTTTGTTTGCTGATGGTTTCATTTGTGTTTTTAATATTTCCAAATATTTATCCTGATTTACCATGCCTGTACAACAATATAAATGACCTACACCTGATCCTGACATGCAACCCCATACCATAAGAGAGCCTCCTCCATGCTTTACTGTATGAGAGGACTAAATCATTCACTAACACACAGAAGACTAAATCATTCACCAACTATTCTCTTAACATAAGCTCTTTTAGCACCACAGATAACAGTAAAGGTACTTTCATCACTCCATAGCATTTTATTCCATTGTACGACAGTCCAGGTATTGTGCAACTTCGTGAATACTTTTTTTTTCGCGATGTTATCAGGTCGCAATAAAAGCTTCTTCGCAGCAATTCTCCCATTCAAACCATCTTGCTGCAAGCAATTTTTAACTGTGCTTGCTGTCAGATAAACTTCATGGTTTTTCTCCATGTAGGATCTCAAGCCATGGCGAAATGATTGGACTAACTCGCCCGAACCTAAAGCCGATTCTGCTTTGCGGTAGTTTTATGAGATGGGTATACAAGGGAAAAGCACCAAGTCCATTTTTAACAGTATGGAGTTATTTACACCACTATTTAGTATTTTAAATTTTCCCTCATTTGATATACCACACTAATTTAATAAACCAATTATTAAAGTGTTATTAAGATTCATAATTTCAACTATTACACAAAAACTTATTGGCTCATTATCTCAATAAACAAATGAATAAATAAATAAATATATATATATATATATACTATATATATATATATATATATATATATATATATATATATATATATATATATATATATATATATATATATATATATATATATATATATATATACATATATATATATATATATATTTAAACAATTGAAAATGTATTCTACAAAAAGAGTGCTCATTGTTCTTAAAAGAACAGAGCAATTACAAATTAGTAAAAAATCACTTGGCAAAATTTTTTCTCATTTAACACTGTGTTTCATCAATAAAGACTCATCAGAAATCTCTCTCTCTCTCTCTTTCTATATATATATATATATATATATATATATATATATATATATATATATATATATATATATATATATATATATATATATATATATATATATATATATATATATATATATATATATATATATATATATATATATATATATATATATATATATATATATATATATATATATATATATATATATATATATATATATATATATATATATATATATATATATATATATATAGATTTCTGATGAGTCTTTATTGATGAAACGATATTGATGAAATGATATATATATAGATTTCTGATGAGTCTTTATTGATGTTAAATAAAAAAAAATTTTTGCAAAGTGATTTTCTACAAATTTTGTAATTGCTCTGTTCTTTTAAGAACATTGAGCACTCTTTTTGTAGAATACATTTTTAATTGTTTTGAATATATATATATATATAAAATTTCAAAAATAATATTTGATTTAAAAAAAAAAATTATTTTTGGTTTTATTACTTAAAAAATTACACTTTCTAACAAAAAATGAAAAAAAAAAAATTTATGTTTTTATATGATCATTTTAATAAATAAGTTGAAATTTTTTCAAAATGAATATATTTTTCAAATTTTTATAAAATTTCGCTTCATTTGAGTACTACGTTGACTTATTTTTGAAAAACTTTTTTTTTGAAAATATTAGGGACCCATTAAATATTTGAGGGTCTTGAGTGTCCCATGAAAATATTTTGTATTCAAAAAAATTTTAAACCTAGTGTTTTTGTATTAGATAGAACACATTTTAGGGGGTGTTATAAGGGCCACCCTAATATATATATATATATATATATATATATATATATATATATATATATATATATATATATATATATATATATATATATATATATATATATATATATATATATATATATATATATATATATATATATATATATATATATATATATATATATATATATATATATATATATATATATATTAGGGTGGTCCATAAAACAACTTTTTTGAGAAAAACCTGCTGACACCCCCTAAATGTGTTTTATCTAATACAAAAACACTAGGTTTAAAATTTTTTTGAACAAAAATTATTTTTAGGGGTAGCTCAAGGCCCTCAAAAATTTGACGGGTCCCTAATATTTTGAAAAAAAAACTTTTTCTAAAGTATGTCAACCTGGTACTCAAAAGAAGCGATATTGTATAAAAACTTCAAAAATAATAATCATTTTACATAAAAAACATGCCTAAAAAAAATTATTCTCAAAAAACCTGAAAATATTGACTTTTTTTTATTTTCAGCTTAAAAACAATAGTTTTTATGCATTTATACCTAAAAAAAATTATTTTTATAAAAAATTATTATCATTTTTAAATTTTTTATATAATTTTGCTTATTTTGAGTACCAGGTTGACATACTTTAGAAAAAGTTTTTTTTTCAAAATATTAGGGACCCGTCAAATTTTTGAGGGCCTTGAGCTACCCCTAAAAATAATTTTTGTTCAAAAAAAATTTAAACCTAGTGTTTTTGCATTAGATAAAACACATTTAGGGGGTGTCAGCAGGTTTTTCTCAAAAAAGTTGTTTTATGGACCACCCTAATATATATATATATATATATATATATATATATATATTATATATATATATATATATATATATATATTAGAGTATAGTGATTTTCATAACAAAAAAAATTAAAAAATAAATTTTCCTGAGACACGAATCGATGTCTATTATTCATAAGAACAAAGTAAAAATTTTTTGATTTTGAGGATATCTTGAGGTTCCTCTTTGGATTCTAAATTCTTGACTGGTCCTAATGTTTTTGATTTTTTTTTCTAAATCATATCAACCTTGGACTCAAAAAAAAATCTGCTTGTTTTATAATTAATTATTGCCCTTTATATATATATATATATATATATATATATATATATATATATATATATATATATATATATATATATATATATATATATATATATATATATATATATATAAACGTACCTTTTATTAAGTTGTATAGCTTGGTTAGACTAAAAAGATTCTTTGCCTTTTCCAGCTGCCATATTAGATTTGGCCATGAGTGAATTTGTCATAAAACTAAAAATAATTTATTTTAATAATATTATATCTCATAATTTATGAAATTATAATTAACTACTGTATTTAAAATTTTTTTCTTTTTTTTCATAAAATCTAAATGTAATTAAACATTTAGATTTTAATTTAACGATACAGTTAATCTATTAATTAAATATAATCTATTATTTAAAAAATAGCACACTAACCATTAATCTAAAGTTTAAAGCTATGGGATAACCTATAGCTTTAAACTTGCAAACTGGAAAAAGTGTAAATTGGCATTAGTGCGCCAAACAGGTTAGCAAACATTACGAATAGACATAAGTGCAAAATTTGATTAAGTACAAAACAGTTACAAAAACAGGCAGAAGTGTGAACTGATATAAGTGCGTGTAATAAATTTGCAGTTTGGAATTATGGTAAATTTTGAAAATTTATTTGGCACACTTATGCCAGTTCGCATTTATGTTGTTTGCACTTTTGCGAGTTTTTGCAACTGCTTCACACTTACACCAGTTCCCACTTATGGAAATTCACACTTATGCGAATGTTTGTAAATCTATTTAGCCCAAAAAATGCCAATTTACACATATGCCAGTTTGCACTTATAACAGTTTGCAATTATGCTAATGTTTGGAATTCTTTTTGTGCAGTTATGCCCATTTGCACTTATGCCATTTGGCATTGTGTCAGTTTTTGTAACTGCTTTGCACATGTGCTAGTTTGCGCGTATGAAATTCACGGTTATTCAGTCATCCCATTATGGTAAAACGGCTAACATAGAGCCATGCATGGGATTTGTATTATGAATTGTAAGATGGGAGTAATATCATTATAAAATTAAACAGAGTATTTATAGGAATGCACTTTTAATTTACTAACCTCTTCATCATAGCTATCACAAGTTTTTGACAGTTCTTACCACCAATATTTTGAACTCTTTGTTTCTAATAGAAAGAAATAATGGAAATCTGACAATTCCTAATTAAGTAGTAAAAATTATATATTGTAAAGAAAATTTAAAAAAAAAGAAAAATCTGTCAAATCAGTATTTAGCATTTACAACTGCAAATCAGTATTTAGCAATTTACAACTGCAGAGATACTACAGAGTTACTAGATGAAACATTGTCAAGTGCTGAGTCAAACTTATCAAATTCTATTATGCTGTTCATTTCAGTTACTACTTCTTCTTCACACTATTTTATATTAAGTTTTTTGCATCCTTGGGTTTTTATCTTATTTAAGAGAAGCAACACACAATATTGAAAGTGTAAACAAATTTACACTTATTAAATTTTGCATAGTCTTAACTAAACTATGTAAATAAATAAATTTAAAATACATAAATTTAACAATTTAACAACTTAACTGGTCTAACCCTAAATCAGAGAAAAACTAATAGACAGTGAAATACCTAATAGTGGCAATGCTATATTATATATATTAGCGTTTTTCTCAGATTTCGGGTTAGACAAGAAAGATTGTTCCATAGATTTATAGTTTTTATAATATTGAAATATTGGATTTGATGAAGATTATTTAAAGTTAAAATTGGAACCTCATCATTTTAATGATGTTTTTAATATTGACAGTCATGTTAGCAATTTACAACAAACATTACATTATTATATTTAACTAAAGACTTACTTGCTTGAGATAATGGAAATCCATAATGTTTATCCTTTTTATTTAAAGATGATAAAGATTGATGTGTCTTAAAATGAATCTCTTGGTCATCTTTGTTTATTATTTTTTGACCTACACAACACAAACATAGAAAATATTTGAATTTCATCTAACAACTTGTCTTCTTATGTAGCAATTTTACAATTAAAAAATTTTTACAAATTACTTTACAGATTATTAACTTTATAAGTAAAATAGGGTATATAGTATGGTATATAATATTATAGGTTTCATACTGCTAAACATTTGGTAATAACACCAGAATATCATTAAAGAATAAAAATTTTATAAAATGACAATTTGAAGTAAGTCACTTTCTTTCTTGAAACAAATCATCATATTTTTTCCTTTCAGCCTTTTTAACTATAATAATTCCTTTATAAAAACCACTGATATTATTATTTTTAATTTTTAGAGTTAAAGAAGAAAAACTCTGAGAATGTTGTTCCCTTTTCTCAAATCCAAATAAATTTTTTGCGTTAAAAGCAGTTGATAATTAAGTAGAATTAAAAACTTAATCTAGTTTTTTTAAGCATTCAAGTTTACTCAACAATTAAGTTATTTAATAGAGTAAAATAATCTAGCTAACCACACCATTAAAACTTTCTTAATCATATCTACTTGATTCAAATAGAAATACAAACACAACCTAGTTTCAACGAAGGCATACAACTTTAAACTAAAAATACTCCAATATATTTTTAAATTTAATTCTACAAGAAAAGAATACAAACACTTGGTTGATTTAAATATATACTAATTTATATAATTTCTATTTAAATAAATTAATTCGCCTAATCGGGTTGTGTTTAGATCATATCCCATTCGGAACGATTAATTTTTACTTGCGTATTTTGCCGAACAACATTTAAAAAAATTTGCGGAGCAATATTAATAACAACACAACACACGTGCCATATATTATTGTTTGTTACTTAAAATTGCTTTATTACGTGGTCTTTATTTTGTTAACTTTATTGATTTTACAGTGGGTTATTGTATTAATTCATGGATGTAATAGTTCTTAAAGGTTAGTGTTTCTTTCATATACATAATTCTTAACAATATAATAACAATAGTTATATATATATATATATATATATATATATATATATATATATATATATATATATATATATATATATATATATATATATATATATATATATATATATTATATATATATACACACATATATTTATATAATTTTTAAATGAATAACTATTTAAAAAAAAATTTTTTTTAACAACATTTTTTATCAACATTAATTGATATCATCAGGTAAAAAAAGTTACAATTTCTATATATAAACAATTTATTTGGCTGCATTAAAAATTTAATATTTTTACAATTGTTACCATAATTACTTTTTATAAGATAAGTAATTACCATGAAGAAACTCTGACAATAATAGAAAAAGAGTCAGTTGAGTTTTTGTATTTTTGCTTTGAAGTAAGATGTTTGTAAATATAGGATGCCTGATCTAAATTTAAATTTTCTGAAACCGTTGTTGTGTAGTGTCTGGTGTTTTCACCAATATATCCAGCATTACAGCTGGAGCAAACAAATTTATAGACAACAAAGGTTTTTAAATTTGGGGGGTTAGGGGTCTTTGATGAAATCATACTACTTATTTTAAAAGTTGTAAAAACTAGTCTTGCTTTTATATTATCTTTACAATATTTTAAATGTATTTTATTAATTGATGTTAAAATGTATTTGAAAATTTTCCAATATAAGGGAGTTTAAAGTAATGTATCTCAGATGGTTTTGGAGATGACATGTTTTCTTTAGGAGAGATAAGATTTTTAGTCAATTTTTGAAAGTTTTGTCAATTAAGTTGAAGACAAAAGAGTTTTTTTGGAGAGTTTATTTAATTTTTACAATTTCTAGATGAAAACTTGCTGTTTTTTGAAGGCCCTATTGATCAGAGTTTTAATGAATTCTTGTTCATAATTATTATTAGTGAAGCTTTTAAAATTAGTTTGTAAAACTGTGTATTTTTTTTTGAAAAATTTTGAAGTATTAAATTTATAATTTACAGAGTTAATAATAATATCAATAAAGTTCAATTTGCGATCAATCTCTTTCTCTTTATTAAGTTTGGGGTAACTTAATAAACTTAAGAACAGTCACAGTAAAGGGATGAGACTTCATTGACGCATAAATTCATGAGAATGAATTTTAGTAGATGGCACAAGAGACACTAGGGCCATCATAGTATTTGTAGAAAAGAGAAAGAGAAGCAACATTAAGATGTGACAATGTTTGGAGATTGGCTGCAAGAACAGGTCCAACTATGTTTACGATTATGCACCTTATCAAAAAGAGAAAGAGCATCATTGGAAGATCCACCCCAGATATGGCAACTATTTCATAAAAGTATGACAGAATCAATAGTAAGAATGTGACAAGCCTGATAAGGAGATGCATGCTATTTTATTTTGAAATGGATTTGATATATGGTTTCTGAGAATGATCAGAGGTAAGAGTTAATTCTAGGAGTCAAAGTGTAGATGATTCATCAAGTATATTACCGTTCATAAAAATAGAAAGATCTCGATTATTGTGATAACGATTAGCTAAAAACTATTAAGTCTTATCTGAGTTAAAGTTCATTAGCCATTCAAAGCATATATATATATATATATATATATTAGGGTGTCCCAAAATGACATGAATTTTTTTAGTTTTTAACTATTTCTAGATTTTCAAACAGTTTCATATGTATTTTTATTTACTAAAAGCAAAAAAAAAAAAAAAATCAAAAAATTTTCATATTTGACCCCCCCGCCGCTCTTTTTTTTGTGTTTTTTTTCTAAAAAAATGACACAAAGGACTAAAATTATTTTTGATAATCAACTATGTTCGTATTTTATATAATTTTCTTGTGTAATTTTGTTTGATAAAACATAATCAATAGTTATTTTCAAAAAAAAATTCATATTTGACCCCTCCCCCCTCATAACCCCTTTAATGTGTTTTTGCCCTAAAACAATCCTTAATATACTCCTTTTATATATCTATTATTTATATCCAATATAATTAACTGTTATTATAATTTCAAATAGTTTTGTAATAAATAAAAATGAAAATTTATTAAAAATAAATTTTCACCTGGTTTATGACCCTCCCCCCCCCCCATCCTTTCTAATATTACCTTTGTCGTATGATTTTTTTCTGCCTAAATAAGGAATTTTATAAATTATAATTTTTAATTAAAACAAAAAATTTGATAAATACTCAATTATTAAACAAAGAAGGATAGAAATGATTGGTATAAGTTAACAATATTAAAGCACAATGGGAATAAGTACTAAGAAGTTCAAAATCTCATTTTTTTTAAATTATAACAACAAAATAACAATATTTTAAAGGTATAATAAAAAAGAGATTTTTTAAAGCATATTTTCAAAAATTAAGTTTTTGAATTGCTTGTTTATTTATGTGAGGAAGAACTTTTCGGTGGTGTTCTACTGCACGTAAAAGAAATTCTTTCTGCTCATCATCTTTTGTAATAGATGTTGCATAGTCTTGAATTAGTTTTACAGCTCGTTCTGCTGTATCGTTTACAGATTTCAGTGATTTGATATGCTCAAACATGTGATTAAAATTTGTGTTAGTTTTCCAAAACTTTGGGGATTCTACCAACCAACCGCCATCCTCATTTGAATATCCGAATAAATTTAGAATGTTACTTGATTTTGGTCCAATTAAATCAGTCAAACAAGTACTCTGCTTCAGAAGAGGAAATTGTGGAAAGCCTATATCATGTTCACAGTTTTCTTTTATATTTTTCAGAATTATTTTAGCCATTTTAGTTTTATCTCGATCAGATACCTTATCAGAAAATAATGAAAGAGGGGACATTTCTTCAGTTAAATACCAAAGATGCTGATTAAATGTTTCCAGGGCAGCAACAGCAACATCATTGTCAATTTTTTTATAAATAAGCATTTCTTTGTAGAATTCCAGGTCATTAAATGGAGCATCGACTGTGCTTGTGCACGTAAGCCATATTTTCACATAAAATAGTAAAGTAAATTTACAAAACCTTGACAATTTCTCTATAAAACTTTCTTCATACTCTGCCAGGTCAGCAAAAGCAAACATCTTTGATGTGTACAAGATTGTACACATCCATCTAGCATGATGGAAGGCTCCAGGTTTGTGCCACTGTATATTTATTTGTTTTGGATTGAGTAATTGCAAAGCAAGTTGACAACATTCTCGATAATCATCTCTTAATATTTTTCGAGATTTCCGGTTAAGTAAACCAGACAAAAAAATTATTACTTCTGCTTTTTTGGTCTTTAATACTGGTTCTTCGATCTTTATTTTTCTAAAAGTAGTATCTGAAGTTAATGAAAGCTTAGGCCATACCTCATTTTTAAAGTGTCTAAATGGCTCATAATTTGGAGATCTGCATTCTCCAAAAACTTTGAAGTAAACAGATGACAAAACTCTTTCAAAAATATGGTGTCGGCAGGCGCACCAAAGTAACTTTTTGTTAAAGTGTTCTTCAATTAACTTTGCAGAACCATTTATCCAACCTGAATTTGATGGAGTTGTGTC